GGGGGGGGGGGGGGGGGGGGTGGAGGTGGGAAGGGAAGAAATCCTAATCTAAATATCCCTCCTATGATCTCTGTAAAGCCCTACTGTGTCATAATGTTATAAATTTTAAAAGTGACTTTAAACCTGGAAAGACCACTGCATATAATAAATGCACTTAATATGTTTCCCATTTTATGTTGTTACCCTCTTCCTTCACCCAGTGCCACCTCCTCGGAATCTTCCATCCTCCTACTCTATGGCTTCTGTGACTCTGGAGATTTTTTCCCCCTGGCTTGGGTGTCAATAGAACTCTATGTTTGGATGAGGCTCTTTTTGGTCTGAGCCTTTCAAGGGGCATCTGCTAAGCTGGGGCTGGGTTACCTATAGCTTGGGTGCATTGTCCCTCCCTCTGACGTAGAGTGGAACAGGGTGGGAGTGCAGGGCACTGTCAGGGAAGGTGTCAGGATAGGACGGGGTGAGGCCAAACATGGCCACCTGGCCTGTACACTTTGGGCAAGAGGGCCTAGGGTGCCCTGCACCCATACCAGTTAGGTTAAAACTCCTGTCAGGATGTCTTGAAGAGGTGGCCACCATCACAGGCTCCCGCAAAGCACTGAGGCCATTCACATCAGGCTAAGGCATGGGCCATAGGCCATGCTAAGGATAGGCACCTTACACAGCCTCTGGCTGTGGTCTAGAGGTCCTATCCAGGACAAAGGATGACCTGATTCATCAATCTGGTGGAGACCAAGTAGGCTGGCAGTTTTAAGACCCAAGTGGATCTCTCCAGTAGTCTTCACCAAAAGACCTACTGCTGGTGAGCATTTGTGTGGGTTGTGCGTACACACATGGGAACATCAGTCCTTCAGAAATGGCTGACAAGTCTCCATCTAGCCCTTCTAGCTCAGCCTAGGATAGGGCTTTGCTTTTATAAATCTGAATAAGTATTAGGAGACTGTGGGGGCTGGAGAAAGCCAGGGGCTTGGCTGGCACTACAGGCTCATCTCGGCTGGGTGATGAGTATAGCCAAGGCTTCAAGGGAGCTAGCTCATAACAGAGCCTAGCAGATGGACTCTATGCTTACACACAGAGTGTAGAAAAAGGAAAAGTGGAGAAAGGGAAGGAGCCATCATGAGATCACTGAGAAAAAGTCATATTAAACTCTACTCATTTCCTTTAAATAATTGTTGATAAACCAAATAAGATGGGTTCATCAAAGCAGCACCCTAAGGCAGAGAGTATCTGTTTTTCAGGGAGATATCTGACAAACAAATGAAAAATATCAACTGGTAATAGTAGGGAGATGAAGGAGTGGAACAGTGCCCAAAGATGTGAACCAGGAATGAGGTCTTCAAGGGAGTGCCACGGAGCAATGTCCTGGCTTCATCTAATGTGCTCTACCCTAGGAGGGAAGGAGTCTCCTTAGGCACATGGTTTTCTTCTGTATTAATTTGTTCTTAAAGGAATAAGATCATCTCTATCTTTGAACTGGGTTGAATAGGTAACTCCTCATAGTTAGCCAGGCTTAGAGTGTTACCTGTTCTCTTGCCTACAGGGGAGTGCAGCCAAAAGGGCAGGAAAGGGGTGAGTAGGAGGCATAAATCAGTGACCCAGTTTCCCTCGCTTTCTAGTAAAGCACCTCTAGATAAATACTTGTCTAAGGGTAAGCAAGGCTGGGGAAGGGTTTTTGTCTCCACTCGGACTAGAGAGAAAAGGGGAGCAGCACCTCTGATTGTTTGCTGTGGGACCATGGTAGAGACCAGTGTGGCAGAACAGCTCGAAGGAGGTAGCAACCCAGAGAGGCAGATACTGGGTGCCAGGCCCCACCCCTAAACTCACACACACCCAACACATGCACACCCCTAAGCACACACAGGCTTTCCTTCCAGTGAGCACATCTTTCCTGCCTTGGAGAATATTTATGCTGTGTACCTAGGATAAGGTGACCAGATTTTAACATTGGTAAAGCAGGACACCACTGGGGGAGGGGAGGGCAGGGTCTGGGGGGCGGGGCCTAACAACAATGCAAACTTTGATAAGCAGTTCTCCATAATCAGTTCTCAACAATTATTTGTTATTATTAAAGTTTAACATTATAAAATTAACGAAAATAATATAAAACTCATATCCTGGTAAAAAAGTCACATGGCAGCTGAAAACCGTATATTCCCTTCCTGTTCTCCCGCGTTCCCTAGCTTATCATGCATTCTTTCCAAAAATTGGACTTTTTTAAAACACCGCAGGACACGGGACAAATTGTTAAAAATCGAGACTGTTCCTCCAAAAGTGGGAAGTCTAGTCACCTTACTCTAGAGAGGGGGGAACTACTTGTTTGTTCCAGACAGTTTGGCTCCTTCTGAGCTAATTGTCCTTGCCTAGAAGAAAGGGAGGGAGCCAGTCTCCTTCTGATACCTTGCCCAGGAGGGGAGTAGGGAGTTTACATTAGCCTTTTCATTTCCAAATGAAGTTACATTAATCTCTTCATTCCCAAATGGAGTTACATTAACCTTTTCAGCAGCCCCAAACCATATATTCCCTTCCCATTCTCCCGCCTTTCCATAGCTTGTGGTGTATTCTTTCCAAAAATTGGGACTTTTTAAAAATGCCCTGGGACATGGGACAAATTGTTAAAAATCGAGACTGTCCCACCAAAAGCAGGACTTCTGGTCACGTTAACCTAGGAGGTGGCCAGATGCAGGGGCAAAGCTGACACCCTGGTGAGACTCTGCAAGGACACACCCAACCTGTTGCAGCCCCTGTGGCTCTGGGAAGGAATCAGACCTGAGGCAAATTAGAAGTACAAGTTTGTAGGAGGCGGGGCTAACCTTGATTGCAGGGTAGCCTGGAATAACCTCTGCAGTAGCCTTTTATTGAGACAGTATAAGACAGGTGAGGGGAGTATTGGACAATGACTATGTGCCTAAGGATCGCCATGGACTCGAGCTCTTTTTCCCCAACCAACACCTGTGGACGAATTGCCAGAGGGTCTGCCCCGTAGTCGCAAGTCATCTTGGTCAGGGGTCATCTGGCTCTTGGCATCCTCTATACCAACCAGATGAAATTTAGAGTGAATTGAGGCCTGGACTTGATGTCTGACCCCATGTATGACAAGGATTTCTTTCTTTTCTTTCTTTTTTTTTGGTAGTGATAGAGTTTCACTTTATCACCATAGGTAGAGTGCTATGGCGTCACACAACTCACAGCAACCTCTAACTCCTGGGCTTAGACGATTCCCTTGCCTCAGCCTTCCAAGTAGCTGGGACTACAGGCGCCGGCCACAATGCCCGGCTGTTTTGTTGTTGTTGCAGTTTGGCCTGGCCGGCTTTGAACCCGCCACCCTTGGTATATGGGGCCGGTGCCCTGCCCACTGAACCACTAGTGCTGCCCAAGGATTTCTTTTTATTGACTGCAAGTTCACTGGGAGTCCACAATGTTCATGGCTGCCAAGAAGTCCGGTGGAGGCTCAGACTTGGTGACAGTGGCCGCAACAAGGGGAAGGTGTGCTCACCCTTTGCTCTGCCCAGGCTGCTTTGCAGGAGGGCTCTTACTCTGTGCCCTGCAGTGTCAGGCTGCAAATGGCTTCAGGGTCTTGGGCCCTGCTTGTGTTTAGCCTGAAGACAAAAATGTCCGTGGGGAGGGAGCAGTCTCTGGGAAGTGGTTGTGATGAGGTAGGGGACCAGGTAATGAGGGAGTCAGCAGGGGAAGGTACTGGAAAGGGAGGTCTGCTCTTGAGAGAGAGAAGACCACTTTTAGGGTCTGCTAGGCCTCCCAAAGCATGGAAAGCACTCCCTTCTTTTTGGGTCATGCCAATGTATAACCTTCATGTATTGATTTGAAATTTTGTCTGCCTGACAGGTAGCCCTGCCTTTAATACTCTGGATTGTAAGCCATTGGGGAGTTTGGATCTTAAGTGTTAGCTGCCCATTCTCCTTGCATAGCACCACACACTTATTATAAAATGCTTCTCCCACTGTAGCTCTTGGCTTCAGTGCCTGACTTTGCTGTAGCAGGCGAGCAGATCCCAGTTTGGTTCTATAACAGTCTCACTACAAGGAGAAGTTTCTGTCACATTGGTATGCACCCTAGATATGATTTAGAATGACAGTGTCTTTTAGTCTATCTGTTGGAGCTGTCCAGAGATGGACCTGGTGGCCTAAGGAGGGAGAAAGAGCCCTGATTATAACAGCAAGTGTGTATTTCATGTGTAATATGTGCTGGACCCTCGGTTTTGGCTGACAGCCTCATGAGGGATTTCTCACCTAATTCTTCCAGCAAACTTGTGATGTGGGGCTATTGCCAGCCCCATTTTGCAGATGAGGGAATAGGCCTAGAAAGACCAGGTCTCAAGGTCACAAGGCTAGTGAGAGAGTGCAGCTTCCAACCTGGGCAGTCCAACTTTATTACTCACTGTGATAGGCAGACTCCTTGGTCCTGAAGGAGCCCAGATTGGAGGATGATTGTCAAGAGTTTCATTCACATATTCAAGCAACAAAAATATTAAAGACCCGCTGTACACGTCGGGCACCATGTCTGGAGCTTGGGTAGGATGAATAAGGCACAGATCCTGGTCTTAAGGAGCTTGTAGCCCAGCCCAGTGTTGTACTCACAGAATTCTGTGTGTGGCTCTTCTTTCTGCAGCTGGGTCTCCTTTGGGTCTGTCCCAACCCCCAAACACTAAGGGACCTTGTCATTCTAAATCATATTGATCTTTTAGAAGCCTGAAAGAGGACTGAAAGATCTAGGGTGCATACAATGTGACAGAAACTTGTCATGACTTTGACCTTTTGAGGGTGACCTCAGAAGGAGACCTCGGTTCCAAATAAATTTATCAGTTAACAAGAAGCACCCCTATGGACCTCAGTTTCCTTGTTGGCAAGTTTCAAGTGCCTTTCAAAGTCCAAAATTCTATTTATTTTTGGAATGTATATTAATACATATTTACATGTGTGATACTGTAAAATATATATTTAGTCTTCCACAAGACCTGACATACAACTCCTAAATCCTTAGGTCTCCAAAGTGATGTTGTTTTTTATGCTAATGTATTGATTAGGTCTGGCAGCCCCTAGGAATGTAGTTTTAGGATGGACCCTGGTCACCACTGAAAGACCAAGGCATGATCAGAAGGTTGGGACTATCTGCCCCAGCCCCCAACCTCTAGAGAAGGGAATGGAGATGAAGGTTAAGTTGATCATGAACGACCAATGGTTTAATCAATCATGCCTATGTAATGAAGCTTCCATAAAACCCCTGAAGGACAGGTTTGGAGAGCTTCCAGATAGTGGAACACATGGAGGTTTCTGGAAGGTGGTGTGTGCCCCTTCTCACACACCTTATCTTGTAGGTTCACCTGGATCCTTTGTAATATCCTTTATAATAAACCAGTAAACATTAAGTGTTTCCTTGAGTTCCATGAGCCCCTTTAGCAAGTTAATTGAACCTAACATGGGGGCCACGGGATCCCTGATTTATAGCCAGTTGTTCAGAAGTGCAAATGAAACAATCTGGGGCTTGCAATGAGTATCTGAAGGCAGATGCAGGGGAGCAGTTTTGGGGATTGAGCCCTCACCCTGTAGGATCTGAAGTCATCTCCAGGAGATAGTGTCAGAGTAGAACTGAATTAGGGGACATCTAACTGGGGTCTGCTATAGAATCAATTGCCTGCTTGTTGGTGGGAAGAAATCCCACACATCTGGTCGCAGAAGTCTTCTATGTTGATGTTTGCTGTGGTGTAACAGCAGAGGAAAGATAGTTTTTTCCTAACTCACCTCTCTTGTAATAATAGGAATTTCAAAACAGTGATAGCAAGCAAGTTCCTGTCACAAGGGGGCTGGAAAACCCTTAACTGTTGGCTCAGTTCCTGCTTTGGAGGCGCTGAGATGGGAGAGAGCTCTGTGTTGTTTTGCTTCAGGTTTCATTGTTTTCCTATTCTTTCTCCACTTTCAATTTCATTGTTTTCTGCTCGTTAATACTGCCTTCTCTATTTGGGGTTTTATTTGCTCTTTTTTAAAATTAAGGTGAAAATTCACACTTTAAACATTTCTCCCTTTCTAATATATATATTCAAAGCCCTAAATTTCTAAGCATTGCTTTAGAGGCCTCCCTCAATTTCTGATACATTGTTTTATTGTTATTCAGCTCAATTCTTTCATATGTTTCCTTTGATTTCTCTTTTGACTCATGGGGTATTTAGATGGATAGTGTTTATTTCTAAGTGTTTGGTGATTTTCCAGGTAACTTTTTACTATTGATCTATTAGTGGATCAAACAATGAAGTGGAGGCATCCTGGCTGGGGGATGCCTTAGACCTCTAGAGATTGTTACTTACCTCTGTCTCATTGGATCAAGGTTGTTTACTGAGTTGCTTTCAGGGCCCACTCCACTCCCCACCCCTTCTTGTAGTCTGAGGCTGGTCCCCAGCCACTCCAGAGAGGGAGACTTACATGGGCATCTTCTATAAAGGGACAGATGAAACCTTTAGGGATGTAGTTGTGCCGGAGGTCAAAAGGAGAGGGGTGCCCTCTGTAGCTCTACTCAAAGAACAATATCACAAAGGTAGAAGCATTTTCATTAAATATGGGTCACACCTCCCAGGTCTCAGGGAGCCCTCTTCTCTTTATCCCCAAACCCAGCATTGCATATCCTCATTCTTTTATCCTTTGAAGAGCGCAATCAGCTTTGGGACCACAAAAGGAGGTTTAGATAGAGCGTTAGGAATCCCTAATCCCAAACTTCTCTGTCCTTGGGAGCCTTAGGGTAAGTACTGATTATAGAACCCAAGTGTCTTTAGAGGAGGGGGCTGGTGATGGAAGGATAATCTATAAGAGGAATCCAAGGTGGTGTGGGGCATCCTGTGGGCAAGATGTCAGGGGAAGAGGCGTTTTATACCACCTTGCCCCTGTCTGGGCCTTTTGTCTCTAGGAAGCCTTCATGGGCTTTGTCTTTTTTGCAGGGACACCACTTAATGTCATGGTGCTGGTGGCCACATTGTGCTACAAAAAGCTGTGGCAGCCACTTAGCTACATTCTGGTCAGTTTGTCCTTGGGAGGCATCCTCAACTGCATCCTCTCTGTCTTGCCCATCTTCATCGCCAGCTGTTGAGGTTACTTCCTCTTTGGCTGCCATGCTTGTGCTCTGGAGGGCTTTCTAAGCTCTGTAGTAGGTACTGCAGGGGAAGAGACTGGGGGAGGCAAAGGATACTACTCAAAGGGGCAGGCTTTGAGTGGTACAAAGGAGTACCTAAGGGTACCTAAAGGAGTCTGGAGGAAAGGACTTTGGAGCTCTTTTGAATACTGGGGTACAGAGCAGCCCAGAATAAAAGTCAGACTAAAATTGGGTGTTTGAGTCTGCACTACATTGTAGCACTCGCTGTCTCTGGGCCTGCTTCACCCCATCCAAATTTTGCTCTGCCAGCCAGGCTGGATGGACTCTGTCTACCCCATTCTTTTAACATTTTGCTACAGGTCTAGCGATAGGCTGATCACTGGCCTTCCTGGCCTTTGAGTGCTATATTGTCATCTGTAAGCCCTTTGGCAACTTCTGCTTCAGCTCTAAGCCTGCACTGATGGTGGTCCTGGCCACTTGGACCACTGGTATTGGCATCTCCATCTCAACATTCTTTGGCTGGAGCTGGTGAGTGTAGGGTAATGGTGCTGGCTTAGCAAGGACCTCAGGCTGGTGTGAGTGGAAAGGTAGGTCAGGTATAACTTTTCAGTTTTGTTTTTGTTTTTTGTTTTTGAGACAGAGTGTCACTCTATTGCTTGAGCTAGAGTGCTATGGTGTCAGCCTAGCTCATAGCAACCTCAAACTCCTGCGTTCAGAGGATCCTCCTGCCTCAGCCTCTTGAGCAGTTGGAAATAGCTGGGACTACAGGCACTTGCCACAAGGCCTGGCTGATTTTTCTGTTTTTAGTAGTGATGGGGTCTCTCTTGTTTAGGCTGATCTTCAACTCTTGAGTTCAAGCACTTGTCCCACCCCGGCCTCTTAGAGTGCTAGGATTATAGGCGTAGCCACTGTACCCAGCTTAACCTCTCAGTTTTTGACTTCTACTTTTTAAAGAGTTGGGGTTACAGGTGAGGTGAGAGGGCTGTGGGGGATGAGTGCTAACATCTTCTCTGCAGGTGAAATTGCTGTAGCCTCTGATCAGGACAAAATCCCCCTGCTTGAAGTCATTCTCTGGGTTCTAAGTGAAGAACACAATCCAGGAATCTCAGCTCCCACTCCATTAATTATTGTGGAGAATCCCCAGCAAGCAAGTACTTGTCCCATGGGTGAGTGCCTGGTCTTTTGCAGATTCATCCCCGAGGGCCTGCAGTGTTCCTGTGGCCCCAACTACTACCATGGGCACCAAATACTACCATGAGTACTATACCTGGTTCCTCTTCATCTTTTGCTTCATTGTGCTTATCTCCCTCATCTGCTTCTCCTCCTCTCAGCTGCTGGGGGCCCGAAGAGATTTGAGTGGCTTTTGAGAGAGTTTGGGAAGAGAAGTGGGTTGGGGGACTCCAGGGGAAGGAAGAGTGGGTGAGTATTCTAGAACTTAAGACATTTGGGAATAGCCATAGCCAGAGAGAGGAGCATTTAAAAGCAATGAGGGAAGTGGGAGTGGGGAGAACGATGAAGGAGAGGCAGAAGAATTAGACCCAAATTAGGATGAAAGATGGGCAATGAGAGTGGACAGACATTCCACCAATAGACAAGCATCTGGAGAGCTGGGCGTTGAGGGCCAAGAAGAGGGATGTGCCGCTCTGTGTGCTCTGGACCAGGTTGCAGCTCAGCAGCAGGAGTCCGCTACGACCCATAAGGCTGAGCGGGAGGTGAGCCACATGGTGGTGGTGATGGTGGGATCCTCCTGTCTGCTACGTGCCCTTATGCTGCCCTGGCCATGTACATGGTCAACAACTGTAACCATGGGCTGGACTTACTATTAGTCACTATTCCTGCCTTCTTTTCCAAGAGTGCTTGTGTCTATAATCCCATCATCTACTGCTTTATGAATAAGCAGGTAAAAGCACTCTGTTCATATTCCTATGAGAACCTGGTCCAGAAGACTCATTTTTTCTACCAATGACTTTTAACTTGGAACACCCTGAACTCTACTCAGAGGGTTTCTAGGTGGACAAAGGAAGCCCTTGGTAAGCACAGGGGAAGATAAAGTCATCAAGACAAAATAATGGAATCCAGGGAGGATAGAACTGGAGCCTGAAAAATGAAGTTGCTCCAAAAAGCAGGATAACTGAAAAGGTTGTGTTTTATTGAAAAACTCATAGATCAATAATTCTTCATTTCACTAATTCTTAATCCTTTCTCTTTCAAATACTAGCCTGCCAGGTGCAAGTATGAAGCACAGAAATCACAATACATGCATGAATCTCTCAAATATCATAGTCTAAAGGGGTACCACGGGCCTCCAATTCCTAATCCTAAATCTGAGCTAAGAAACCTCAAATTCAGTCAAACCTAGGAGAGTTTTTCTCTTTTAAGGTGAAAACCCTACTTTTGGAATAAACCCAAAACTGATTTAAAATCTACTGTGTGGAAAAGAATCGGCAGTTCTTTCTAGATGGGAGCACCGTCTAGTAACAGTGGGGTCTACTGTGACAATGCTGCCGTGAAGCAGGAGGCTGGTTTGTGAAGTGAGACCTCAGACTCAGTCAGAATGTCTGGGGATTATGATTGCAGACCAGAAGTAGTGAGGGCAAGATATAGTCAAAGCCACCTGAGAATATCAGCATATGTGTGAGGCTTTGTGATACAAAGAACAAGATCTTTTTCCCCACACTGCCTTGTCTGCCAAGGCTGTCTTCAATACTGCCTTTCCCTCCAGTTCCAAGCTTGCATCATGGAGATGGTATGTAGGAAGGCCCTGACAGATGAATCCAACATATTCAGCCCCCAGAAAACGGAAGTTTCTATTCTCTCTTCTAGCCATGTTGGCCCCATCTGAGGACCCCATATCAACCTGTTTGCAGCAATTAGAATTTTACATTTAAGTAAGTTTCAACTGTCTTTGTCAGAAATCAAACTACTAATAACACAGAAAAAAGATGGGGCGTGATGGAGTTTGAAGAGTCATTTTTCATTTTCCTACGATTCCCTTCCTGTCTAAAAGCTATTGTTCCAGCTGGGTCTATTTCAGACCACCCAAATATTTCAATAATCCTGTTTCTACTCCTAAGTGGTACCATTCACAGCACTTGAAGAACCAATTACTGAATACAAGGCAACTATAAAAGAAATATGGCTGACTTTTCAGCATATAGATAACAATTATTTCCCTTTTTAGTAACACTTTTTTTTTTCTTTTGCGACAGAGTCTTTGTTGCCCCGGGTAGAGTGCCATAGCATCATAGCTGACAGCAACCTCAAACTCTTGGGCTCAAGTGATCCTCTTTCTCTTGCCTCCCAAGTAGGCACCCACCACAATGCCTGGCTATTTTTAGAGACAGGGTCTCTCACCCTTGCTCTTGCTCTGGGCTGGTGTCAAATACCTGAGCTCAGGCAATCCACCTGCCTCAGCTGCCTAGAGTACTAGTATTACAGGTATGAGCAACCATGCCCGGCCCATTTTAATTCTTTTTTTTTTTT